AGTTCTCATTTGATTAGGCCCCTATATATACACACACACACACACACACACACATATATATATATATATATATATATATAAAGAAGAACCAAGAGTATTGATATGACATCATGAAAATTGAATATTGAGGTGTTGGTGAATTGTGGTTGAGTTTATGATATCCCACATTGGTGAGAGATTAAAAGATTGGAATAATGATGTGTGTATAAGAAAGAAGGATGAAATTCATTGTGTCAACTCATGAGGTTTGAATCATAAGGTTATCTTATTTGGATGACCTTATTTTTGCAAAACAAATCTTATATTGTGTTAGTTCATGAGGACTTGAGTCATAAGGTTATCTTATTTGAGGAAAACCTTGGGATATTGAGGTGACACCATGAGAATTGAGTATTTTCAAATGGTGAATTGTACTTGAGTTTTAGTTGTCCTATATTGATGAAGAGTTGAACATTTGAACAAAATGAAATGTATAAGAAAGTGGATTGGATGCCTTTATGTCAAATAATGGAGTTTGTCTTATAAAATTGTCTTATTTTGGATGATCCTCTTTGAAATCTATAACCATGGTTGAAAACCAAACCAACCAAATGATAAAAATTATAGTGCAAAATTAATTATATTATATTATTATATCTTTATCTTTATATATANTATATATATATATATATATATATATATATATAAGTAAAACCTTGGGGTGATGAGGTGACACCATGAGAATTATAAAAGTAAAACCTTGGGGTATTTAGGTGGCACAATGAAAGTTGAGTATTCTTAAATGGTGATTTGGGGTTGAGTATTAGTTGTTCTACATTGGTGAATAGTTGAAAGATTTGAACAAAGTGAAATGTATAAAAAGATGGATTGATGCATTTGTGTCGATTAATAAGGTTTGCCTAATAGGGTTGTTTTATTTTGGATGACCTTTCTTGAAATCTATAATCATGGTTGGGATCAAAACCAATCAAATAGAAAAAAATCTTTATATATATATATATATATATATATATATATATATATATATATAAAGAAAACCTTGGGGTATTGAGTTGACATCATGAGAATTGAGTATTCTCAAATGATGAATTGTTGTTGAGTTTTAGTTGTACCACATTGATGAATAGTTAAATTTTTTGAACAAAGTAAAGTGTATGAGAAAGGTGGATTGGATGTCTTTGTGTCAAATCATGAGATTTGCTTCATAGGATTGTCTTATTTTGGATGACCGTCTTTGAAATTTATATCATGTTTGGAATCAAAACCGATTAAATGGTAAAAATTATAGTGCAAATATAAAAGTGAAATCAATGATGATAATTTGGCAACATGAGGTAGTTATTTATCTGTCTTCTTGGTGTTAATACTATCAAGTTTTGACACACCCTCTAATTATAATTCAAATATTATAGAATGTTACGATAAAGTGTAGTAATTTTATCAGTTTAATATCTGATATGTGGGTCATCGACCCCACTTGATATTAATTTTATTTTTTATGAGGAAAAATCCATTATCTTAGCTTGATGATGTCGTTCTTCATGCATCGTATTGAACTTCCACTATTGTTGCTACAACTTACGCATTCCTCTAATTTTCACTAGAAATATTATAGAACGTTTCTTTTTCGTAACTTCAAAAATGAGATTTCAATTAAATTTGTTATAAAATTAAAATCGTGATTTTGTCACCTTATAAGAGATTTCAATTAAAAGTGTGACTTCTAATTAGACAAACTACTAACATTTGTAGAGTACTTTGCAACACCATTCTTTAGCATATATAGTTAGATAACTTAAATTAGCATATGTTTTAAGATTGTTGTGAAATCCTCTTAAAAACTTTTAATGTTAACGAGTAGTTGTCACACACATTTACTTAAGTTTTTCTTAAAAGATAACTTCAAATTTTAGTTTATAACATTCCTTTTGAAAATAATATATATTAGTTGCATTGCATGCACGGTTGAAACACTAGCTAGTTTAATTAATAAATAAATAAATAAATAAAATTCATTTAAGCTCACCTGTCAACAAACTCATGCCTTGAATCTAAGCATTATCTCCAAACATTTAAACATCTTCTCACACCATTATAACACCAATTGCAATGCATATTCCAATTTTGGATTTTAGTTCTCCATTTAAACTCCATTTTTACTCTGTAACTTTATTTCTACCAACCGGATTCGTGCTTATATTGTTAACATCACCAACTATCATAACATGTAATCATAATTTGCAAATATCAACATTATGTCATTCATAATTTTGTCCATTTTAACACTAAAGTTTCTTACTTGCTTTTCTGATCTTCTACAAACCGAATCTTTTGTTGCTTTTTCTCTCTCTTTTCTCTCCGGCCCTTCCTATAATGAGACAAATGGTAGAAACCCATGAAATTGCTTAACCTCTGCCATTTTTATCCTTCACAAGTTTGGTCTCAACTGGTCAACTCGATCTCCTTTGCAACTTTTGTCGCCTCTTGATCTCAACTCCTGCCATTTGCTAACCTCAAACAATCAATTTAACCCATCATCATCATTTGGCCATTTACAAATTAGCCCTTAGACTCCCTCTTTTCCTTTTATATTTCAACCCGACCCGCCCGCCACTAATTTACATAACCAAGTTATATATGGGATTTATAATATTACAAATACGATATGAAATATAAAGATTTCCATTGAAGTTAAGTAATTGGAAAACTTTTTACTTTTGTTGCTACATACTTATTTTAATATAATGAAACGTATTATTGATTTGTGTTATATATATATATATATACTATATAATGTTAGAATTAAGTAATTTTCCAACAATTACTTTGAATCGACTACAATCGGTGAATGGGTCAAAACACGAAGGTAAAAAGAGGAAGAAAGCATTTTCTATACATACTCTCTCTCTCTCTCTCTCTCTCTCTCTCTCTCTCTCTCTCTCTCTCTTTTAATCGACTACAATCATTCCCCTAACTCAATAGTTTGTTTCTCTGCAAACCTTCTTAATATATGGGAAACCCCCCATTTTTCAAACCAAAGTAAGAAGAGAAACAATTGATGTACAACCCAAAAACAAAGAGGCAGCAATTGTCTATTGATGCCTAAACCCAGTTGTCCATGGATAGGAAAACCCAGTTGTTGATCGATGGACAACATGCATGAGTAGCAAATTTACGGAAGGAGTAGTAAATAAATCTTTGTTTGGATCAAGAATATGAAAAAGTGGGATGAGGAGGAGCAAAAAGAAGGGTAAATGGGGGGAAATGAGTTAATAAATGATTGAGTCCATATAACTATTTTTTGGGCTGACCGAATAAGCTGCTTTTGTAGCAATTAAGCCACTTCTGAACAACTTTATATAGTTTACCAAATAAGCTATAAGGTTTATACAACCCATTTGAGCCCTTTCCGAACAACCACTTAGTCCGATGTGGAATGTATTGCTCCCTCTAGAGTATTTTGATAGAATGGTATTCTAATTTAGTCTTCTGCTACAGGAGTGTATATGTTTTACCTCCATTGGCATTATGATGTATATTTTGGAGGGTCATATTTGGCATTTTTCATGATGGAAATGAGAGTATTGTCATGAATATTATTACGAAATTTTCACATCTCATGTCATAACCACCACATGGTATAATAGTGTCTCTTTGTTTTTGTTTTGGAAACACTAAATAGTGTAATATGTGTACATACATAAGCACATATATGTAAGGGACCTTCTTTCGATAACCTATAAAATTATGATGACCATGAGAACTTGTACATCATGTGTTATTTCAAATAATTTTTTTCATCTTAGATAAAGATTTAGATTATTGATTAACATATATTTGTTTCACAATGTGAACATTTTTGACGTGTTTGTGAAACAAAAAATACACGTAATTTTTTTTTCCACATTATGAACCGAATACATATGAAAGAAAGACATTATTGAACAAATATATGTTAGTCAATACATTAAATATTATACTTAGACGGAAAAAATCATGTAAAACAAAACCTTAAGGTAGAAGTTCTTACAAATTTCACAAATTTTGATGTTCTCAAATGATTAAGCCCCCCCCCCCCCCCCCCCCCCCTCTTCCACACACACATATATAGGCGAAAGATCTTGTAAGAATGAGAGTTAAGGTGAAAAACGTAAAAAGAGATATGAACCCTTGATCACCTTTAATCTCAAACTCACTTATGAATCGCGCTTGATACATAGGTTGATTTGGTGCATCTCATCCTAATATGCATCCAAGGACGGAAATCCCTTACCCTTCTCGCCTTAACTCTACTTCTCACTATAAAGGGTTAGGTTCTAGTGAGAACAAAAGTTACAATGAGAATGGTAAGAATATATCTTTAGCCTAGAATCAATGCTAACTGAAGATCAACAGTAACGAGATGCGCCAAGATTCACCAGATCAATTTCTGTATCAAACGCAATTAATGGTGTGGGGGTGAGACTAAAAGTGATCAAGGGTTCATATATCTTTTTTTTTTACAATTCTCACTTTAACTTATATTCTCACATGTTGCTTTGTCTCTCTCTCTCTCTCTCTCTCTCTATATATATATAATAGCTTTTGTTTTGTTATTAATGGAAAACATTTAGCTCTTTGTAGTTTGATATATACTATCTACCATATAGTTTAATTATTATTATATGGTGCATATATGGGTTTTTTTCAATACGGTACTACGATTATTTTGAGATGAGAATTGAAGAAAATGATGGAATTAAATAAATGGCTAGAGATCCAATATTCCATGGTAAAATAAGTTTGTGGGGACTAGGAAAAGGACAAGGCGTCGTGGTGAGAATCTAGTCTCTCTAATATCAAAACAAATGAATCCTTACAAAAGCTTTCCAAAATTGTTCTAGCATGCATTTCTCAGTGATGCTATATAATAGAGCAATACATGTGTGCGTAAAAAAAGTTTTGGAAGCAAATGGGTCACTAATCAAGAGTTTACTTAGAGATCATGGTCCACCCTTAATTCATGAAAATTTTGGAAAGCTACCTCCAATTCTCTTGTCTTCTTGCTCTTCACCTACATTTTCATTTTCATCTACCTCAATTAGATCTTCAGAAGTGTAGTGAGGTGCATGACCATTTCCAAAGGCATGAACATGGTCTTTGAGAGATCTTTTGTGCTTAAAATCTGAGCCACAAACACAATACCATAACTTCCCACAATTCTTCTCGTGAGTCCTCCAATCGCCTCTTACAGCAAAGGGCTTCCTGCATTTTCGGCACCCGAAGGGCTTCTCACCATGCTTCCTTTTGTAATGTGTTTGAAGCGTCCTGAAGTCTTTAAGTGGCTTCGACCTTGGGTGCTCGATGTTGTTCTTGCAACCCTCCGCACAACAATAACAAGGTAATCTCAGCATTGATGATGCCGGCTTTGTGCCTCTTAAGGATTCTGGACCTTTTCTGTACTGTGATCCATGCCCCCACATATGCATCTACACAATACATTATATATACATAAAGAAGAAAAATTAGCATAAAATTACAAGCATCGTGATAATATCAATAGAATAGTACAGATAACTGAGAAATAGGGATTATTCAGAATATTCATGATGAGACCAAAATCAATAAAGCAAAGTATACATATTTTCAGGAAGCCCAGAAAAGGAAAAATAAATCAAAAGACACTTAACTATACTTGATTGCTAACACACTCGAAAAAGGACCATTTAAGTACAAATAGGTGAAGATCATGTAATTTAATTATCTTTAAAAACTCAATTTAGGAGCATTAAACACCCATATATACTTCATAAAAGGAAAAATATAGTGGATATTTTACTTCTTTTTCTTTACAATTTTACCGAAACTCTGTAAAATAGTGACTCACTCAGCTCGATATTGTCTTGTCAATGCACAGCAATGGGAAAAAAAATAGTACGCAGAACCACTAGAATTAATGGCAGAACGTTTAATCAGTCGAAAAATGTATTGCCAGAAAATCATAGCTGGAGAAATAACCTGCATGTTATTGTAGCGGTTGAATGTTTTGTTGCAGACTGTGCAAGAGAACTGTGTAGGGCCGACCATGATTTGTGCTGGTGTTGGGATCCAATATTGTAAATGCTCAGGTGCTATGCTTATGTTAGGGTTAGGGTTAGGAGAGAAGCTGCTGGTTCCTCCTCCATCTGCAGTTGGTGGTTGACCTATATGAAGAGCTACTGTAACACCATCCTCACCACTATCAATACTCGCATTAAGATTAAGATTAAGATTAAGATCTTTATCAGGGTTTCTGTGAGAAGAGTAGTGGTTGGGTGATGAGATATTCGAGTGGTGATAGTTGGATTTGGATACGACGTCGTGGTGTTGTGGTTGGCCTGGAAGACAAAGAGATAGTAGAATAGAATCTTCATCCACTTCATCACCTTCCAAATACCCATTACTCTCGCTTGTTGTTGACATGTTTGCAAAACTAGACTCAGTTTGCATGGAGAGAGAGAGAGAGAGAGAGAGAGAGAGAGAGAGAGAGAAAGACAAAGATTTAGGTTTTAGGCATTCCTAGAGATGACAATGTAGAGAGGAGGGAGAGAGAGATCTCAGGAAAGAGGGTTTTATGATACGGGTTTAGTAGCTAGAGAAGGCAAATCAAGATGATCCAGAGAGAGACCTCAAGAAATTAGAAGGTTTTAAATGACGGGTATTGGCGGAGAGCACAAATCAAGACGAAAAATCGAGAGATATAAAGAGGAGTGTGTGTGTATGTATATATATATATACACACACATATATATATATTACAGAGGGATGGAGAGAGAGAAAGGCTAGCTTTAATTAGACAGAAGGTTTTATAAATCTTTTTGCATTGGTAAAGAAGGCAAACGAAGATGATATTTAAAGGAAATAAGTCAAAAAATTCAAACTATTTTGGTTCGGAATCAAGAAGGGGATGCAGCGCGAGAGAGAGAGAGAGAGTGTGTGCACGTGGAATAGGGATATAAAAATTTGGAAGGTGATTGTTTTGGCGTGTTTAGAAATGGGGGAGACAAGGACTCGGCAAAAGACAGGTGAGAAAGAAAGAAACTGCACTACATAGAATGGTGTACCACTCTCATTTACCTATATATATATATTTCAATTCCACGATATATAATATATATATATATGTATATATCATTTAGTTTCCAGGTGACTTTTCCGAATTCTTATAATAAGTTTCTTGCAAACAAACTCAACCGAGTCGTGTTTTGCTCCTACTTATGAGCATAAAATCAGGTCGGAGTTGATTGTCATAAATTTTTTTAACCCTACCTACTTGAAGGGTTAGATTTTTACAAATTCATGGTAATAAGTTGGACAACGTTAGATAAGATATTCGAACTCAATTATAATTCTAGATTATCTTGAAAAAACGTCGACGAACCCAACCCAACGCAACATTTATACATAAATTAAATACAAATGTCAAGTTCAGCTTGTTTTATATATTTGTATGGAAATGATGATTATATTAGATACTTGGTTGCTAAATAACTGATATACTCATCATGAAGATGCAGAGAAAACATTTTAACAGCACTAAATGATAAAGACAACACTCTATTATTAGCCTTTTTAGGTATAAATCACTTCCAAAACTAATGAAGCACACCAAATCCTGTATATATATATATATATATATATATATATATATAACCATATATATTTTAAAAAAATTGTTGTAATCTTGATCATAGGAGTGATCACAAAGTGTAATTTAATATTTTTCTTGTATATGTATATGTATGAATTAATGTATGTAGGTTCAAGCAATGGATATATGATGCCGGTTTATAAAGTACTCATAACGACAGTGATGGGTATCAGGACAATGGAACTACATGAAGAACTACTGTTGGAAGACAGGCGTGAGCTTTTCTCTCTCTCTCTCTCTCTCTCTCTCTCACACACACACACACTCACTTACTTTTGTAGTTAACATGTAAAGGAGACGTTGAAAGAGATGTACAGGCCAGCAAGACAATGATGGAAGATGTTACACCACATAGTGCAAACCAAGGATCCATTAAGAATCACATAAACAAAAGTAGCTGCTACTTTTTTAATTATTCATTCCTTTTCAATTTGTTAGTCACATGAGAAGTCTAATTCACCAATATTCATAACTTGATTTGACACCTTGTTATCAAAACCACCTTAATTTGTATCATTTCAATTGCAATCTTATCACAATTTCTTGCTACTCATATACATAAAATCAAGATCACCATTGGATTACCCAACAGCAAGTTATATATAATGAATCCCTACTAAAATACGAGCAAAATTTTGAATCCAACAATGCACGTACGTCAAGAAATTATCAGGATATTTTTGTATGTCTCCTCCCTTTGTGTGCAAAAAGATGAAATGGGCCAAAGCAATCATGCATATTCCAGTGAGGAACTTGAGTCGAGCTATTTGGTCAAATTATACGTTTGTACAGAAATGGTTTGCTCACGTGAAGGACCCATAGCAATCACAATTTCAAATCTATAAATTGAACAACTCATCGATTAACAAATTAATAACCATATGAAAACTGGTTCTAATCTTTGCAGATTATTATAATTAGAACCAACATGAAAATGGCACCCCAACTGCTATATATGCAAATGTCAGCATCATGGCCATCTGGCACATCTTTCCAAAGCAAGAGATAATTAATGCAGCTAGTACAAAGAGATATTTAGATTCATGTAGTACGCGTACGTAGGGTGTGAGGGCAAGCAAACATGATCAGTTTGTGATATGTTTTAATCATGCGGTACAAGTGAGAATAATGAATTTGAAATTTGTTGACATCACATGGTGAAACACAGAAGTGAAACAAACAACCAAACTTGATTAATAGCTAGGTGTTTGTACTTGTATGCAGAATGTGTACTTGTGAAAATGCAATATCAATTTCTTGATCCTTCATGTGGAAGAATGAATTCAGCAATTTGTTCGTAATTAAGACCAAGTATTAAATTTTTTTTGAAGGTAAATATAGCTGATGATTCTACAGGAATTACAGGTTCATTTTTCTGCCATTGTGTATGGATACAGACATCTTGCATGAAACCAAAAGATTTTCTCCAGGATTTTAAAACGAAGGATTTTGGGGGTGCCTCTTTTGCAATAGGGATCCGGGTTTAACAAGACATATCTCGGGTATTGTTGGATTATCACAATTCACAAAAAGAGTTATATCCGTAAATTAACTTCTCTCAAGAAATATGGCATTTTTAGGCCTAAAAACGTTGTTTAACTACCCTTTTTGGACACTTTTTGGACCATCCCACATATCGCCCCACCCACACCCTACCAACCATTATGTCACTACTATCGTCATCACAGCTATCACCCCGCCCCAACCCCACCC